CGTGGAGGGGGGATGAGGGGGGGGGGGGAGTGCCTGACATGCTCAACGTCCTTCTCGTACATCGCTGGCGAAAGAACGATTTGCATTGCAAGGCCTTTGGGTTCTTCGCCTTTGCTTCCACGGCTTGCATAATGCGCCCCCCGGGGACCCTCACATGCAATCCGGCTCGGCCTCGCCACTGGGTTCAGCGGTCACCAGCCGGCCGCTGTGCGGGATTACGGCGGCGGCTTGAATCCGTCGTGGGGAAGCGGCCTTTTGCGTCATTGCCCTCCTGCCTCTCCCCAGACGCTGATTAAATTCCTGGCTTTCTGCTGCTTAAACCCGACAGACGGAGTCTCCTCCACCCCCACCCCCCTGCAATCCGTCTCTGTATCTCTTCCTCCTTCTCAGAGATGTGCGAGCCGTTTTCGGGGTCCCGCCTCTGCCACTGAGCCCCGACCACCATTTGCACCATTGCCGGGCCTAGGATCCCTTATAGTAGGTGGGGAACGCTGAGCAGGGCAGCCTCTTCGCTTATACAGGGATTGCCCTGAAAGGAAGGCCAAGGCTTTTTTTCCTGCCAAGGAAACTGGGTGGGGCTGCCTTGCATTGGCATACAAATTACAGTTACATCCAGCAATTCTAAAAAGTTTGTGTATAACTTTTGTTATAGGGAGATCATCTTAAATCTGGGGTCATCTTCCTTTACGGTAAATGTGGCATTTGCTCAGATGTGCAGGAAGCTGGTGTCCGAGCCCTTCCCTGACTTCCTTGTTGTAGTGAGATGCACAAACGGCATGTCAGGTGCTCTCCAAATACTGATGCCCGAGAAGGAGAGATGGGGACAAGGAGGCCTCGGGATTGCATTTCCCATAGCATTGCTTTGGAATTACTACTGCAGTTTCCCCCTGCAACCGTTTCAGCAACGGTCAATTCAGCTGGGAGGAAAGAGAGCTCTCCCTAAAATAAAGGAGCAGTTCTGTAGACAGAAATGGGTCGCTTGGTTGACTTTGTCAAATGCAGCCGCCTCCATACTTTCTGCAAAGGTGGGAGGGATGGTCATTCCCAGCGTGAAAGGTGAGGAAGCCCAGGAGACGTGGATGGTTTGCTTATTGCTTGTGGATGATCACGAAAGTAACTTTGCATAGCAACTGAAGGCATGCTCCTGACTGACAGGCGGAAACCCAAGAATGTTGGCAAAATGCTGTGTAGGAAGCAGGAAGTGTTGAGGTTCAGCTCTATCCCTTCCACTGTAAAACTGGATCAATATAACGGTTTAATTAAAGGTCCAGTGCCTGAGGCTAGTCTGATTTTGTCATATCTTGGAAGCTAAGCAGGGTCAGCCCTGGTCAGTATTTGGATGGGAGACCACCAAGGAAGTCCAGGGTTGCTACGCAGAGCCAGGCAATGGCAAACCACCTCTGTTCATTTCCTGCCTCGAAAACCCTCTGGGATCTCCATAAGTCATAAGAACATAAGAGATGCCAATGTTGGATCAGGCCAAAGGCCCGTCCAGTCCAACACTCTGTATCACACAGTGACCAGAAATACCAGTGCCATCAGGAGGTCCACCAGTGGGGCCAGGACTTTAGAAGCCCTCCCACTGTTGACCCCCCCCCCCAAGCACCAAGAAGACAGAGCATCACTTGCCCCAGAGCCCCTATCTATACCTTGTGGCTAATAGCCACTGATGGACCTCTGCTCCGTATGCTTATCTAATTCCCTTTTGAAGCCGTCCACGCTTGTAGCCGCCACCACTTCCTGTGGCAGTGAATTCCAAGTGTGGCACTTTGCACCACCACAGGGTCTAAGAGCCGGGCTCAACGCCTTTCATTCAGATCCTCTGGAAGCCTCACACCTTGTCTGCAGATTCATCAGAATGACTTTGCTAGGTCTGGGCTGCTGGGTAGCCCAGCATCTGAGGTCTTGCATCAGCTGCTGGCAAGACTTGAGAGCTGAGCTTTTGATCCGCCTGGAATTAGCAAAAGTCCTTAATTAAATCCCAATTAGCTCCACCGTAAAACAGGCTAAGTAAGAGGCACTCAGGTCTGAAGCCACCCATAGACCAAAATAATACAGCAGGCCACTCACAGATTATTGAGTTTCCCCCCAAAATAGGAAGTGTACCTAAGGGCTGTCGGCCAGTCCGGAAATCAGGCTTGCGAGGGAATTAATGCCCGAAAGAACTGCAAAGATACTTCTGAGCTGTAACAGCAGTTTTGAAAATGTGACAAAGTGCCCAGAGAGGATATGGGGAGCAGTGTTCCCACTAAGCTGAGTTAGTGTGAGCGAGCTCACAGTTTTTTAGCCTCTGGCTCACACAATTGCGTCCTAGCTCAGGAAGGAGGGCCCCAGAGCAAACTTAATTTATGCAGGAGCCAAATTGCTCGCTCACAACTTTAAGGCCAGGAGCTCGCAAAGTAGAATTTTTTGCTCACAAAATTGCTCACAGCTTAGAGGCAGCATGGGTGGGGAGTAGTCTCCCGGAGGGATTAAAGAGGAGATTGAAGAGCCACCTGTCTGGGATACTACTGCATCCACCAACAATCCTGTCGTGGGGCCAGATGAGTCCGGATTAGAACAGATCCCGCTGCAGTTCTCCTCTGAGATGCTAAAACGCGACGGCTTTGTACAGAGATGAATGGATTGCTGGAATTTAATAATAATACTTAGTATTTATAGAATACTTTTTTTTTGCAAAGTGCTGAACGCATTTCATGTACATTTTGCTCCGTATCCTTTACGATCACCCCAAAACATTGGCCAGAAATATTATTTCCATATTACTGATAAGGAGGGAAAGTCAAGGCCTGCCTCCCTGCATGGTGGGAGTTGAGTCATTGTTCATGGTTTGTCTCTGAAGATGACGTGCTGGATGGAATTGATAAAAAGGAGCACCTAGGAGGAGACAGACAGACTGAATGAATGGACAGGGGGAGAAAAGTATATTAGATTCGATAAACCAGTTAAATATGCTGGGATCTGGAGGGTAGGGGGATCGGTTGGGTAGATCAATGGCCACCTGCTGGTGGGCGGGGACCCAAATCCGGAACATAAGCTAACTTGTAGTGGGTTGCAAGCCAGGCACAGACATTGGGGTGGATCCGGCCAACTTTCCCCCTCACTCTTGTCCAAATCTCCTCCTTCCTACAGCCCCCCCATCCCACATGACTTGTACCCACAGAGGTCTCAAGAGCCCCAGCATAACCTTTCTGGGTAGTCAGAAAACACCCTTTCTCATCAGCGGAAAAGTTGTGTTTTTTTAGAAGAGAAAGACGGTGGTAGCACGGAGAGAGACAGGAAAGGAGAGGGAAGAGAGAAGCAGACACAGTTTTTTAAAAAAGGGAAAGGGGAGGGTGTCCTGTAGAAGGCCGGGCTTAACGGCGGTGCGGTATATTTATCATATATACGTATGTATGTAAGAAGATCAAATCAGTCAATCCTAAAATAAATCAACCCTGACTGTTCCCTGGAAGGCCAGATGATGAAACTGAAGCTCAAATTCTTTGGCCACCAAATGAGAAGTGAGCACTCACTGGAGAAGACCCTGATGCTGGGAAAGATTGATGGTCAAAGAAGACCTCCAAAGGATGAGATGGTTAGCGTCATAGATGCAACGAACATGAAATTGAGCCAACTTCAGAGGACGGCAGAAGACAGGAGGGCCTGGCGTGATCTGGTCCATGGGGTCGCAAAGAGTCGGACTCGACTGTGCGACTGAACAACAACAAAAATGTATGTAATGGAAGAGTCTGCTCCTCCCCTAATAACGATGTGATTGAGTTTGGTCCTATTGGGTGGAGCTCTTGTTTCAGTTTCCAGTTGGTATGTTAGCTGTAGTTCGTTGTGGGAGTTGTCGCCTTGCAAATAAATGGCTGACGCTTTGAGCCGGCTTGTCTCTGCTGAATGGACCTGAGAATCTGGGAACCCACCGCCAAAGGGGGACATTATAGGAGGGTTCCAGTCTGAAAAGACTGAAAGATCTGGATAAAAAAGGAACGTGGGGCGGGGAGAGACCTGAGCCAGCTAGACCAAAATGGTCTCTAGACCCTACCTCCCTTTGCTCAGCTTGGGAACGTGGCTTGTGAGAGGGCTCCCTGCCCCACCTCTCTTGCCCCTTAAAGAGGTTCCCCGGCAATCACCTGGGTTGCCTGCCTGCAAATCCAGCCTTGTTGAGAACTTCTGATGACTGATAGACAAGAAGGTCGGTTCAGGTGGGGCAGCCGTGTTGCTCTGAAGCAGCAGAACGAAGTTGGGACTCCAGTGGCACTTTGAAGACCAACCAAGTTTTGTTCAAGGTATGAGCTTTTGTGTGCATGCGTGAACTTGAATAAAATAAATACCTTGGATAAATAAAATAAAACTTGGTTGGTCTTAAAGGTGCCACTTTAATGGGATCCACCTTTGCTCTGATAGACAAGAAGACTGCTTGGTCTGAGGATAGCTCTTGCAGCCTTCCAAGTGGCTGGGAGAATTCAGCCCCTCTTCAGTTCCCTGGACTGCTTCCCCAGGTACACAGAGGTTAACCCCCGACACACCATGCTGATACTTAGGTGTCTCCCTCTAAAGAAGGGCCTGTGCTCCACTGGTTGTTTAGACTGGGCCAAACACCAGACTACTGAACAACTGTGCTCTGTAGCAGTAGTGGCAGACATAGTTTAAAAAGACCAAAGCAAAGATCCTGTGTTTGAGATCCTCAGTGATAACCTGAACAACATTCTGAGGGTGTGAGAGAGACTGGCAGGAGAGAGACACACCCCTCTACCATTCCAAAGCACCTATGAAAGGTTATGCCCCCCCCAATATACTTTCTGTCTCTCTCACACACACACACATGAAAGGCAGTGCGTAGATGCAGGGGAGACCTTTGGACTGTTTCACCCGTTGCTTAGGGGCTGCCCTGGCTGGGTATAGAAGTATGACATTTGCCAATCAAACAAATCAGTATGTTTTCTCCCACCCCTCTGTCTTGCTGAAGCCAGCAGCAGCTAGTAGGCGGGAACTCAGGGCAGGGGAAGTATTTATTCCTCATCTTCCTCTTTCTTCTCTTCGTTCTCTTCATCATCTGCAGGTCCCCCTTCATCCTTCTCGCTGTATTGTGATGCTGCGTCTATTTTCTCTGGTGGCTAGAAGGAGAAACGGGGGGAGGGCATTATCATCGAGGCTTGTGTGGGGCAGTCTCTAGGCCTCTGTGTTGAAAGCCCAGTCTGTAAATCCCCTGGATGGCAATGAAGGATTCCAGAGACTTCCCTTGACATAGGCTTTTACAGGAAGGGAGCTGGCAACCCTCTGGAGCAGGGGGTCCTCAACCTTTTTGAGCCTGCAGGTACCTTTGGAATTCTGACACAGCATGGTGGGCACAAAATGCTGCTGCGGGAGGCGGAGCCAGCCAAGAAATGGCTGCCACAGCTTCCCTTCAGAGCATTGTGGGGTGGTGGCAGCTGCTGCTGAAGCAACATTTTAAAAAAAAATCTGCACAGCCAATCAAATCTCCAGTGGCCAATCATAAGCCCTGCTGGGCAAAAGCCCCACCTGGTCCTGCCCCTTTATAACAGACTCAGTGGGCACTGGGGAAGGTCGGGGACCCATGTTATAGAAAACTCGAATGATGCAAATCAGGAACTATTTGATTAATTTGCACGCAACTGCATTGCATATTCATGTGGGAGAGGGATGGGATGATTAGGATTGCTGTATCCAGGGCTATTTTTGGGCAGGAACGCACGGGAACGGAGTTCCGGCTGGCTCCCAAATTGGCCACGCCCACCAGGAACTCATTAGCATAACAGGCCACACCCAACAGAATAAGAAGGGAAAGGTGGGTGTGGCTGGATGACCACAATTCTGGTAACATGGGGGTGTGGCCTAATGTGCTAATGAGCGGTGCTGTCAGGGTGTGGCCTATTATGCTAATGAGTTCCTGCTGGGCTTTTTCTACAAAAAGAGCCCTGGCTGTATCTAATAGCAGACTCACACAGTAAAGTGCGGTTTGGCTTTTAGGAGTCTACAGAGTCTTCTCCTCCAGCCACCAGCAGGGAGTCGGAGGGGGGCAGGGTTGCCAGATCCAAGTTGGGAAACACCTGGAGATTCGGGGATGAAGCCTAGGGAAGACTACCAGTGCCACAGAGTCCACCCTCCAAAACACCCGTTTCCTCCAGGGGAACTCATCTCTGCAGTCTGGAGATGAGCTGTAATTCTGGGGGATCCCCAGGTCCCACCTGGAGGCTGGCATCCCTACCTCAGCAGTTGGGAGCCTGTCCTGGTATTTTGGTACGCTCATCATAAGATTTTGCTTCCTCACCTCTTCTTCTTCTTCCTCCTCCTCCTCCTGGCTGGGGAGGGCTGTATACCCCGACCCGATTGAGCCTTCCAGTGGGCCCTGGTGGTTGGCCACAGCCTGCAGTTTGAGGGAGGTAGAGTCCGGCTCACGCCCCTCAGACCGGGCATCCAGGATGGCCAACTCTTTCCGCGAGAGGTGATAGATTATGCCGGCGCCAAAGGAGTCACCCACCACGTTGATGGAGGTCCTCATGCGGTCCCTTTGAAGGAGAAGAGAAGAACAGGGGAATGCAGGGAAATGATGGGGTAAAAGACTGCCCCCCTCCACTGCGACTTAACTTCTTGTCCTTCTGGTTGCAATTGGTTTCTTATTACAGAAGCCCCTGATGAATTTTGACAGACCCCTAGGAAAAGGGAATGTCATCAGACTGGTTCACACATCATCATTGGCCAAGAGGTCCCTCAAGGGGAAACTTGGATATGTGAATGAACCGTTACAGTCAAACAACACAGAAAGATGTCTCCTCAGGCCCCGGTCACACCGGGGAAATTGGGGCGGTCAAAGTGCGGCTTTTTAGAGCCGCACCAAAAGAGACGCGCGGCGGCGGGATCAGACAGATCCCCTGAGCCACTGCGCAGTTGCTTCCTGGCACGATCAGATGCCGTGGGGGGAAGCCACGGAAGGGAGAGCGAGGCAGCCGGCTGCGCATGTGTGCGCATGCGCAGTTCGGCTGGGAGCCTCAAATGCTGCTGAAGATGGGCGTGCCGGCGATCCCATGGCTGCACTTGCTGTGGCGTTTCAGGTTGGTAGTACTCTTCCCTAAGTTTTTTTTTTTAATGCACGTTTTCGGGCTGAAGGAACGGATCAGGGACGGGTGCACACCACTTCCCAGATGTTGCGGTGTGATCGCGCCCGTTTGCTGCGCCCCCAATCCGTCCCTCTTGCGGGGCAAAACCTCCCGTGTGACCGGGGCCTTAGATTAATGCTTTTCAGTGAGTGAGTTCCACACTCAGGTGTGTGTTATTTTCAAGAGCTGGGAAACCCAGAATTCTAGTAATGCCAACATGCCTTTAGAAATGTGTGCTAATAAGGGTCTCAGATAGCTTTCTCTTTGTGTTCTAGTTAATTCTGATTGACAACATGACTTTGGATCGGTTCTAACAACACTGCTTTCCCTCTCCCTATCAACCTGATAATACTTGCGACTCCACAAGAAGCCTGGTTACTTTATACATAAAAATCTTACAGTCAGTGGATTGGCTCCTACCAGCTTTTCCACTTGATCTTGTGCAATTCCCCTGCTCACTGCAACCCCTATTCCCCTTGGTTTTTATACAAGAATATCCCATTGTCCAAGGAGCTGCGGTGGCTCAAGTGGTTAAGACACTGAACTATAGGCTGTGGTAGGTCAGTAGTTCAGCAGTTCGGAACCCGAGTATGCCGCATGACGGAGTGAGCTCCCATCTCTAGTTCCAGCTCCTGCCAACCTAGCAGTTTGAAAGCAAGAAATTGGAAGTAGATAAATAGGTACCACTTCGGTGGGAAGGTAACAGCATTCCGTGCGCCTTGGTGTTTAGTCATGCCGGCCACATGACCACGGAAACGTCTTCGGACAGCGCTGGCTCTTCGGCTTTGAAATGGAGATGAGCACCGCAACCCTAGAGTCGGACTCAACTGGCTTTCGAGCAAGGGAACCTTTACCTTTATCCCATAGTCCTCTGGCATAGCCTTCTCAGTGGCCAAAAGGGGACCCTCCAGTCATTCCCCAGTAGAAATGCTGGTAGGGTTCTGTCTGATAGGTGAGATCCAACCTACTTTTCTGCAGGTCAGAAAGGAAGGAGGGGGTCCACCTTGGCCACCTAAAAAGGCTGCGCTGGGGATCAGGGGACCTGGATGAGCAAAAACCTTGTGGAATGGGAGATGTTCTAAGGAAGGGGGGTCACTAAAGACTGAGTGAAAAAGCTGGCTAGATTCAGGCACTTGTCTTTCAGCACATGGAAATATTTAAATTTTGGAAGTGAAAACTGATAGGTGTATAACCATTCCTGTCCTGTAGGTCTTGTAAGACATGCATAAATAAATAAATAAAATGTGTATGAGGCATGCCTGTAACATAATGCTAAAAGTGGGCTGCCAGGCGTTTCTAAATAGCTATCAGAAAAGACACCTGAATCCATATTAAATTAGCAAAATTAAACTTTCATTATCCCTTCCTCCTCTTCAATCAAACCTCCAGAGGTGGCCCTGTCCCACAGCACTTTTCCAGTAAGCACAATTAGAATGGACAACCAAGCAGGATCTTTTCAGTGGTAGCCCCTTTGGTGAAGCATTCCCTCTTCAGAGAAATCCGTCAATGCCCATCTTTAGCTGTCTTCAAGAAGCTCATTTTTTAAAAAAAATCCACTTTAGTAAACTTTTAAGTTGGGCACTCAATGACAGTGCTCTTTCATTACTGAAATTTCTCTGTTCCTTGAAAAGCTATGGTAACTGCTTTGACATTTATAAGGAGGATTAAAAGAAGAGGGATGAAACCGACAAATAAACACATACGGTGGAAAATACATGACGTTTCTGCCAAATCCCACCTCCCCCTTCCCAGACCAGACTTTTCGACTCCCGTCCTTGGTGACACTCACAGTAGCCAGTCGACAGCAATGAGGAGGCTGATATCTTGAGTAGGGAGACCCACGGCAGTCAGGATTAGTAACATGGTGACTAACCCTGCACTGGGTATACTGGCTGCCCCAACGCTGGCCAATGTGGCTGTCAGGCTGCAAGAAGTGAGCAAGAGAGAGAGAAATGGGATTAGGGGCTTTTATCCTCCCCTAGGGAAAAGGGGCTCTCCCAGAAATTCAAGGCCTCACCTGACGGTTGCAATCTGTCCGCTGTCCAAGATTATATTATTCATCTGGGCAATAAAGATGGCAGCCACGGCCTCATAGAGGGCGGTGCCATCCATGTTGATAGTGGCGCCAATGGGCAGCACGAAGCGCGTCACCCGTTTGTCGATTTTTAGGTTCTCTTCAAGGCAGCGGAATGTGACAGGCAGCGTACCAGCACTGGCATGATGTGGCAGGAGCAGGGGTGAGACACAGGGGGAAAAGGGGGGTATTAAACAAAACAGATGCGGTTCTTTAATACAGTCTTTGTAAATCACTTCCAGGGCTATTTTTGGGCAGGAACGCACAGGAACAGAGTTCCGGCTGGCTCCCAAGTTGGCCACGCCCAGCAGGAACTCATTAGCATAATAGGCCACACCCAAGACCAGAAACTCATTAGGATTGGCTACATTAGGGGTGTGTGGCCTAACATGCAAAGGAGTTCCTGCTACAAAAAAAGCCCTGGACCGTTTTGACAACAAACAAGGTAAACAGAATAAGAAGCAAAAGGTGGGTGTGGCTGTATGACCACACTTCTGGTAACACGGGGGTGTGGCCTAATATGCTAATAAGCTGTGCTGTCAGGGGTGTGGCCTAATAGGCTAATAGGTTTCTGCTGGGTGTGGCCTATTATGTTAATGAGTTCGTGCTGGGCTTTTTCTACAAAAAGAGCCCTGTAATACCATTCCAAAAGAAGAATTAGCTGCATTCAGGAAAAAAAAAACCTAAGGAAGGTCATTAACTTTTTAATATTGTCTGGCACCTCTTTTGAGCCAGTTTCAGTTCCACAAGGCTGTGGGAGGAAGAGAGCGAAGGGAGGAAGGAAAGAATGACTCAGCAGGTATGTGCCTGACAGGGATTTAGCCCAACCAGAAGAGTTGTCCAATGTCTTCATTGAACAGGATCCTCCCAATAGGTGTTTCTTTGTGCAGGATTTCTACTTTCCACTAACCATTGCACCCACTCTTTGTTTTGAGGAAGGCTTTTTTAATTTTGTAAAAGTGCAGGCACTATTTGTATGACCCCCCACCCCACCCCAGCTGCCATTAACCCTGGCAGAGAAAAAAAGACAGGCAAACTCTTGTTCTTATAAAAGAAGCAAGAGAGATGTTTTCTGTTTTAACTCTAGTGACCTTCTGTTAAAAAACAGGGGGAAATGGTGCTCAGGAACAGCAGAGATTCTTTCCTAACCTTCTTGCTGGCAAGATCCTGGCAAGAAACTGATTTACAGAGTACGAAGAAAAGGTGGCTGTATGCTCGTCTGTTTTAATTTTGTATAAATGAGCACGTGTTTTGTTGGGTGTTGGTTTGTAGAGAAAAAGGCAATAAAATACATTTTAAAAAAAAGGAACAGGAGAGAGTACATTCGCCACTGTTGGTAAATAGCGGCGAACACTTTCCTCCAATTTGTAGAGCTCTCAAAAATTGCCAAAAAGAGAGACCCCATTTGTAGGCTAAATAAAGTTTGTGGGCTTGTCCGCTCAGTCCTGCCCCTCCCCAAATACTGTCATGTCAACCGTGCCCAGTGAAAAAAATAAAAAGTTGTCCATACCTGGAAGCAGTGCCAAGTGCAGTGATCCAGGCCTGGAAGATCCCCGCGTAGAAGATGAAGGGGTTCTGACGGGTGATGACAAAAAAGATGAGAGGCAGCACCAGAGCACCATGGATGACCAAGCCCACAATGACGGTCACCATGTACATGCCCAGCTGCCGAGCCACCGTCTCCAGGTCTTTGATAGCCGCAATCTTGCCACAGATCAGTGAGGCAATGCCGAACGGTGAGTACCTAGGAGAAGGAAGGGCAAGGGACAGAATCTCAAACAGTGTGTGTAGCCACCAAGTGAGCAGATGACCTCTTTCTTTAGTAAGTGTGTGGAACATCAGCAGTGAGGATGGAGGCTGAACTCCATGGGGCCCCTAGAGAACAAATGTCCCCCAGCTGGAAATGATGACAGACAGTTAGGACATAACCTTGCCTCTCCTCAGGGTGGGGAGTACAAAGAAGAAAACCAGACAGGACAAGGACAGCTAGCTCTTCAGACAGCAGTGGTCTCAGCCACAGGAGGAAGGCCACAACCACCGTGCTGGAAGTCATGAGGAAACACCAGCATCCCCGGTGAAGGAGAAGTCCTTGACCTCCAGCAAAGCTCACTGAAGGTTGCTTGGGATCAGGAAACACAGGGCTCGTATATAGGCCTAGGATGAGGTAAGTCACTGAGGATTCTTGCAGGAGAGAAGAAGAAGAAGAAGAAGAAGAAGAAGAAGAAGAAGAAGAAGAAGAAGAAGAAGAAGAAGAAGAAGAAGAAGAAGAAGAAGAAGAAGAAATCCCCTCCCCACAACAGACACCCTGTGAGGTGGATGAGCTGAGAGAGCTCTTGACAGAAACTGCTCTTTTTCAAGGACAGCTGTGCCAGAACTATGGCTTGCCCAAGGTCATCCAGCCAGGTTAGGGCTGCCAAGTGGGGGTGGGGAAACCCCCGCTTTGGAGACTCGATTTCCGCCACCGCGAAATCGGGCCCCGGGGGGAACTCCGCCCCCCGAAGAGCAGCGTGGCTGCATCACCAGAGGTGATGCAACCACGTCGCCCACGTTGGGGGCGTGGCCCGGATCACCAGAGGGAAAAGTCTATGGTTTCCCCCCTGATGATCGGGGCCACGCCCCCAACGTGGGCAACGTCACACGCGCATCCGGAGCCGGCTCCCGGAGCCGTTGGAGCCTCCCCCGCCAGTGAGTTTGCGGGACTTGGCAACCCTAAGCCAGGTGGAAGTGGAGGAGTGGGGAATCAAACCCGGTTCTCCCAGATTAGAGTCCACGCACTTAACCACTACACCAAACTGGCTCTCTGGACTGGAAGGATACCCGCCAAGACTGGAAGGATACCCGCCGAGCTAACCAGTGGAGGCTAAGGTGGTACCCTCTAAGGCCTAATCAGAAAGTCTTTTTTCCACAGGGCACTAATGGATAGAAGATGTTTGTTGAATGGCTTCTAGTGGCACGAAGCACTGAATACAACTTCCTGTAGTGCTGGCACAGAGGCCAAGATTCTACAAAACTGGGGTGGCAAAAGAGGAATAGTTTGGCAATTGAAATGTGGCCAGTCCAGGAGACAAGGCTGAGAGTTTGCAGTTGGCTGCATGAGGAGCTGATACATTTTTTTTTGCTTGTGAGGGACTGATGTGCCTTTAGACATGAGCACTCTTTGGATGTCTGCCTGCTTCCTCCTGTTCATCTGGTACCTTTGGAAAGAAGGAGATATTACAAAAGAGACCTCAAGTCTCCAACGCTCTCTCTCCTTAAAGGGAAACCAATCCTGTAAAATGCTCCTGGGAAAGTTCGTCATCACAAAATATGTACATATGCAAATATGTGCATAGGCAGATATGCACAAACATTATTACTGTTCCTTATTCGCATTTCTGGTCTAAAACAGAACTCGTTTTCCACTGCAAAGGAATATATTGAATATCATCATAGAAATGACAAGGGTTGGGGTGATTCCTTCTTGCATCCATACAGAATTGTGGTCAGCTGAAGATCTCCCTTCTGTCACGAAGTTCAGGATGTGTACCGCTCTAGCCTTTTTCTTTCTCTATGGTCTAACTCTGAGAAGATCCTGGCAAGCTTCAGTCCTGGTGCTTCATTATCCGGGCTGCATATCTGTGTTCAAGAGACTCACCACATGATCATAGAGACCAGCTTCATGATGATCTCATTGAGAATATTGAAGAAATCGGCCACAGGCTTTGCCTGTTCCCCCATCTTCCCCATGCAGATCCCAAAGGCGATGAAGAAGCCAATCAGACCTGTTAGGGTGAGGTGGGAAAGCGGAATTAGAGAGAGAAGGTGGCCCTTTCTGCACCTGTCTTTCCCGTCAATTTCTGAGTGCATCTCAATCTTCCATTCTGCATTCCCTCCCGCTTTCACTGCTGCATTGTGTTGGAGCTTCTTCTTGGTTCTGCATTTATTTTAGGGGAATCAGCACTCAGAGACCGATTTCACACAAGAGCTGTGCCGCAGTCGCACCTCCCTTTGCCCCGCTTCTATTGGTCAATTTCCCACTCGAAGCCACGCGGCCGTATTTTGACCCGCGGCTTCACCCGATTTTACTCGCGGTTTCGCAGGTCTTGTGTGAAATCGGTCAGACTGTTTCCAGCACACTGTTGCCCCCCACTACCCAAAAGTGCTTTTGCCGTGAACCTTTGTTCTGCTACGTTTTGAAATCGATACTCCTATTTAAAGTGGAATTGTTACTGCAAATATTTAAGCCCCGCCCCCTGCCCTCTTTCTCTTTGGTCTATATTAGGTGGCCAGTTTACATGATAACAGGTCTCATCATAGGCAATTGCTGAACATTTACATTTGTTTAGAGTCCGTAGCAGGGGTCATTTGGGGGGGGACGCGGGGGGACGCCATCCCCTCAGGTGAGGTGCGGGAGGGCGGGGCCTGGAGCTCCCTGCTGGTGCCCGCTGGAGGTCGCCGCCGGCTGTGGGGAGGACACACTTCCGGTGATGTCAGGGGGTGTGGCATATGCTAATGAGTTATGCTAATGAGTCCCCCTAGCTCTTTTTCTACGAAATGACCCCTGGTCCGTAGTAGTTTGGAGTATGGGAGAGCTACTGGAAAAACCAGTTTTTCAAGAAGCACTTCTAAGCCAAACAGACTTGATCACAAACATTTCCCTCAATAACAAACAAAAAAGGATGCATGGATTGATGGACTGCATTTTGAGTCGATAACTAAATGTTGACAATTGTATATTATCGCTGGGTTATTCCCCTTACATAATGTGAGCAAACATTGCCCCGTTAACACTGAAATGCCTCATCTACTCAATGTCATTCTTATTTTCCTGGGAGAATTCCTCCCACCAGCCAGGGCTCTGTGAAAAGGAAGAGAGAGCACGGGGCACTGAAGGGAAGGGAGCAGTTATCATGCTGGTGCATCGGCTACTTCTTCTCCAAAGGATAAGAGCAATCGGGGCTCAAAACACACTTTCTTCTGTGAGTATGCAGAAAGCATAATCTGCAGAGACTCCATCCTCACAAATAAATAAATGGAGGTCTGGGGTACAGATCCCAGGTCAGATGGAAATGGGCATCTGGCTACCATCTGACTGTATGAATTTCAGTAATCTGGATAAGTGCAAACTACAAAGCCGCAGTCCTCAAGCCCAAAATCTCCTTCCCTGTAAGTTGCTTCAGAACTCGGGCCCTACAGGATGGTGAAGAGGGACACCAAGCATTCACCCGTGAAGCTGCTGTACACTGATTCAAGCCAGTGTTGCCTACTCAGATTGGCAGCAGCTTTTCAGGCAGGGGTCCTTCACGTTACCTACCGCCTGAACATTTCAACTGGAGAGGCCAGGGATTGAACCAGGGCCCTTTGCACGCCAGCAGGTGCGCTGTTACTGAGCTACAGCCCCTCTCATACATAACTCCTTATTCTGCCCATCCTAGAGGCTGAAGTGAAACGAAAGTCTCTAGTAATTTAAAATGTGGGTGGATTTTCAAAACCCAAATCTGAACACACTTTGATTTTTTTAAAAAATTGAGCTTGCAGGATAATTCCCCCACCTAAATTCTGCCATCAGATATGTCGTAGGTGACAAAAGGGGTTTTGACTCTCAAAAGTCCATACTCCCAAAATCTTGTTGGTCTCTTAATTTGCTCCTGGACTCGAATGCAGCTGTTTTGCTGTTGTTCAGTCGCACAGTTGAGTCCGACTCTTCGCGACCCCATGGACCACATCACGCCAGGCCCTCCTGTCTTCCGTTGTGCTCCGGAGTTTGCTTAATTTCATGTTCGTTGCCTCGATAACAGCTGTTTTACTGCAGAGCTAACATGGCTATCCTTCTGAAACCACTCCCCACTTAAAAAATTAAAATGAGTTTGGAGAAATAACATTTTTTTTTTAAAGTGCTTAAACCCTTTTGTATATTGGGAGTGTGGTAGCAAATGTTTCATTTAATTGCCTTAAAAACACATTTTTCTACAGTATTCCCAGGAATGTATGCTACTAAACAGAGGAGAGTTACAAAGACAGAAAATAAAACATTGAACTGGCAAGTTACTAGTTATATGGCTCCCTGAGGCTCCCTGAGCCTGCTCTGTGGGGAGGGCGGGGTACAAAACTGACAATAGACAGATAAATATTCTATATCTCTCCCCCCCCCAAACTAACAGCATTCCTACGTGGGAAAGACATAGAAAAATATTACTAAAATGACTGTTTGTGGTGTCATTTTACTATATGGTTAGAGTAGGGTTGCCAGCTCCGGGTTGGGAAACACCTGGAGATTTTGGGGATGGAGCCTAGGGAGGGCGGGGTTTGGGGAGGGGAAGGACTTCAATGGGGCATAATGCCACAGAGTCCACCTTCCAAAGCGGGCAGTTGCTCCACGTAAACTGATCTCTGTTGCCGGGAGATCTGGTCTTATTCACAGTATAGTGTGTTTAGTATTGCACTGGATGAGTCATTCGACCACAGCAGATTTTCACGCAGGCCAGAAACTGTCTCCCTACCTGTGCCAACCTGTTTACTTTCTGTCAAAAGTCACCGAGTCATCTTAAGGCTCACCCAAAACATTCATGCCAGCCTTGAATTCCAGCCGCTTCTGTGTCACGGTGCTGGGGCCCACGTTCACCTCCGTGATGGTAGCATTGAGCACTGAGCCGTTGGTGCGGACTATCTGGCTGATGTTTTCCTTACGCACGACCACTGGCGGCACAGAGACCTTTGTGGAGACAGTTTGGATCTAGACGCAAAAGAAAAGGAAGGGTAGAAGACAGTCATGGCAAGAGAGTAAAAGGTAAAGGTTCCCTTGCTCGAAAGCCAGTCGAATCCGACTCTAGGGTTGCGGTGCTCATCTCCGTTTCAAAGCTGAAGAGCCAGCGCTGTCCGAAGATGTTTCCGTGGTCATGTGGCCAGCATGACTAAACACCAAGGTGCACGGAACGCTGTTACCTTCCCACCGAAGTGGTACCTATTTATCTACTTGCAGTTTCTTGCTTTCGAACTGCTAGGTTGGCAGGAGCTGGAACTAGAGATGGGAGCTCACTCCGTCATGCGGCACACTCAGGTCTTGAACTGCTGAACTACTGACCTTCCACAGCCTGCAGTTCAGCGTCTTAACCACTTGAGCCACCGCAGCTCCTTGGCAAGAGGGTACCCGTTGCTAATCTCTCCCTGGCCCACATGATACCCATAGAGTTGTGTTACCTGCTGGAAACAGGCCTGCACCAGATTTTCAGGGAATAAGTTCCGGATCAAGTCCAGAAAAGCATCCAGACTGGAGACTTCTTCATTTTTGGTCATCACTGAGGGTGTTTTCCTGAGTTTTGGGTTGCCAGGGTGGATGGACAAGACGAGAATCACCCCCAATATGGCCGCCATGACAGTGGTTGACATATAATAAACCATGGCACGAGTGCCCATGCGGCCGCTGGATCTGGCGTCGAGGCTAGCCAGGCCTGTCAACAAAAAGAGTGATAGCAGTATAGAGTTAAAACAGACAAAGAGGCTTTGTCTAACCCCCACCCCTTCCCTTCTCCGTATCTTTTTTGTTCATAAGAAGATATGTTCTTTTGTTCATCAGACCGATGTTTTATAAAACCCACCATCCTGTTTCCAGCACTGGTTAGCCAGATGCCTGCAGAAAGCTGACAAGCAGAGCATGAAGTGAGGTGGCCAGGTTGACTGCTATGGTGGGCAGCCTCCATCCCCGCACTTGTGCCACCGATCCCTGCTCCATGAGGCAGTGGGAGCAAAAATGTGGAGGGAGATGTCACCATGTCAAGTGGCACTCTAGAAATTTCCCCACTCTGTACAGCATTTACCATAGAGATTGAAGGAATTCCTAAAATGTTTTCATTATTACAGGTCTTCACCTGTCAAAAATGGGGAGGGAGACATCACCATGTAGAGTGACACTCTAGGAATTCCCCCAATCTTTGTAGCATTTACCATAGAGTTTGGAAGAATTCCTAAAGTATTGCTCAACACTGCGACATCACTTCTGGATCTTCACCCAGAAGTGACATCATTGCATCAAGTGATGCTCCCCCTCCCCATGCCCCACCCCCCAAATCTCCCAGGATTTCTAGGTTTATGCCTGACAACCCTAGCATGTAGTAGGCCTCAAATGCTTATTCACAGCTTGTCCGTCTATTGATGAAAGTTCCATTTTGCTAGCATGGTTAAATAGATATTGATAGACCTATCCTCTGTGACTTCTAATCTCTGTCTTTTGGGCATGAGTTCCAATTTGCACTGTGCAAAGTATTTTTTTGTGTGTGTCTGTCTCAAATCTACTGCCACTCAGTTTTATCAGCTGTCTCTGAATTTCAATATTCATTATGTTGGCAATCCATCTACCCAACTTCCCACATTTCAACCCACATAACCTTTTCTGCTCCACAGAAAAGGTAGAAGGACCATTTTAGATGCTCTTCAAACATAGATGGCCATAGACTACCTGTAGAGAAATGGAACACTCTTTCCTCTAATCCCAGAATTCCACAGGTTCCATTTCCTGCCTGGACTAACCAATGTGAATTCCCACTCGGTCAGATGACAGAGCAAGGGCCTAGGGCATGGCACCTTCTGCCCCTCCCCGCCCCCCCAGCTCGCTCTCACCGGAAATTAGGCTGGAGATCACAAGGGGCAAGATCAGCATCTTCAGCATCCGCATGAGGATGTCACCAGGAAAAGAAATCAGCATTAGCAGGTCACTATCCAGTGGCGGGAGCAACCTCAAGAGACTGCCAAACACAGAGCCCAAAATCACCCCTAAAAGGAAGAGGGGGGAAAAAATTAAAAGTCAGCTGAAGGAGCAATTGGGGTGAAAGAGAAAGCCACTGTTGATACAAGAACCTGCTACCCAATTTGTATGTCTTTGTACCACCCACATTTCACAGATGCAAAGAGGTTTGGAATACCCCTTTTTGTGTACTTGAAGGTCACTGTCATAGACCTTTCTGCATTAGGCAAAGAAATTTTTGTTGTTCACAAGCCATCTGGAGAAGAGGAAGCAGCCCCCACTCTTCGTATCCCAACAATTCATATTTGATTTTGCTGGTAATATGGGATAAAAAACCCCACAGACAAAAATGATTAAAAATGGGGTATAACCTCCCCCCCAAACAAATCAATCCTATATTTCTGAGGGCTCTGCTCCATCAGTTGGATGACATCTTCATTGACTCATATGCCACATATTTTGTTAGTCTTTCAGGCGCTACTGGACTCTTGCTCTTTCCTCCTGAGAGGCAGAGAAGAGGCAAAAAGCAGAGATTCCGAATATATGTGTGTGTGAACAAGCTGGGATTGACTACTGTTAGACAGTGGAGTACGACTGCAATCCTGAGGACAATTTCCCAAGAGAAAAACTGATCCCTAACTTGAGTTTGTTATCCAACTAGGGTTGCCGGCCTCCCTGATACAGTGGCTGCAGATGTTCTATATTACAACTGATCTCCAGGTGACAGATATTAGTTCACCTGGAGGAAAGGGCTGCTTTGGAAGGTGGACTCTATGGCACTATACCCCATTGAAGTCCCTCCCCTTCCCAAACCCCACCCTCCTTAGGCTCCACCCCCAATCCTCCAGTTATTTCCCAAAACAAAGCTGGCAACCCTATACCCAACCCAAGCCGTAAGGGTCAATGTTCCCTCTAAGCTGTGGAGTCTTGTGAGCAAACATTCTACTTTGTGAGCTACCGGCATGAAAGTTGTGAGCGAGCGATTTGGCTGCTGCATACATTAGTTTGCTCTGGAGCCATCCTTCCTGAGCCAAGGCAAAAATGTGTGAGCCAGAGGCTAAAAAACAGTGAGCTAGCTCACACTAACTCAGCTTAGCGGGAACCCTGGTAAGGGTACTGTTTGAATGCAGCATTTGGGTGTGAGAAATGAGCTATAGTACAAAAAAGCATTTTTTTGAGATCCTGATATGTTATCTTGTCACGCTTCTCAGCAGAGCGTGAAGCCCTCTCCCAGTTTAAGCCTTACAGTGCCCACCCAGGCCTGTAGTTAACGTGGGGCCCATGGGCCCCGCCCCCCTAGCATTTCTTCTGAGCCCCCTCCTTCCCGGGCTGCCCCCAAATTGAATTAATGTAATTAACTTTGATTTAATTAGCTGTGGGGCCCCCAAGGCCCCATCCCAAAAAACCCTAGCTACGGGGCTGTGCACGCCTCTAATTTAAGTGGCTCTTCTTCAAACTTTGCTGAGCTGTGAGGGAGGACGTAAGCGGTTAGAGTTCATCCCACCAAGCCCCCCAGCTAACAGCGAAGACTTCCTCCTGCACCAAGA